TGTAGACTGCTCTCTGTACATGCACTGAAACCGTTACTGTATGCTACTCTCTGTACGTGCAATGAGAACGTACTGTATACTACTCTCTGTTCGTGCACTGAGACTGTACTGTAGACTGCTCTGTATGTGCAGAGACTGTACTGTAGGTTGTCTCTGTACGTGCACTGAGAACGTACTGTATACTCTCTGTACGTGCACTGAGACCGTGCTGTATGCTGCTCTCTTTACGTGCACTGAGACCGTACTATAGAATGCTCTTTGTGTGTGCACTGAGACCGTACTGTAGGCTACTCTCTACATGCACTGAGACCGTACTGTAGGCTACTCTCTACATGCACTGAGACTGTACTGTAGGCTACTCTTTGTACGTGCACTGAGACTGTACTGTAGACGTCTCTCTGTATGTGCACTGAGACCGTACTGTAGACGTCTCTCTGTATGTGCACTGAGACTGCTCTGCTACTTTGCATTTATGGAGTCACCATGAGTCGGAGTTGACTTAAAGGCAGCTAACAGCAGCAACATTATTGTTTTGCTTATGGCTTTTACTTAGTTCTTGTAATTTAACTTATGACTGTATATGAAAATTTCCCTTTTCATTTTAACACTTCGTAGATAGACCATGGAGTCCTGGTGTTGTGCTGGAGGATATGCACTGGTCTGCTAACCGCAAAATCAGTGGTTCGAACCTCATCAGCTGCTCCTTGGAAACCCTGAACAGGGTTGCTCTGAGTTAGAACTGACTCGATAGCACTTAACAATAACAACAATAACAGAGTAAACCGTAAAGGAGCCTGGTGGCATAGTGGCCTAAGCATTGGCCTGCTAACTACAAAGTCAGTGGTTCTAACCCACCAGCTGCTCCAAAGGAAAAAGATGAAACTGTCTGCTCTTGTAATGATTTCCTATCTTGGAAACCCTAAGGGACAGTTCTCCTTTGTCCTAAAGGGTTCCTCTAAGTCAGTGGGTTTAGAATAGATCACTTAGTATGGATGTACCTAGTGATTTTAACTAGTCACCAATTAATAGGCTTCCTGTACTGTGGTACTGCAGAAAATGCTTCATTGCTCTCTGCTCAGATGGGGTGTCCGGTGACGATGGCGAGAGAGAGAGAGAGAGAGAGAGAGAGAAAACAGACACAGAGAAAAGATACAAAGAAGACAGACACCCGGGCTTGATGCAAGCTGCCAGACAGAATGCTCAGTGGCTGACATTTTCCGTTCTCGGACTAACTCTAGGTGGGATGTCTGGAGAGGCGAGAGAGAAAAGAAACACTC